AAGACAACGTGCTTCTCTGCCCCCACCTGTACTAATGTGGACTGTGCCTCTGTGTAGTGAGTGGGTGGATTGGCAAGGAGGCGGGACAGCAGTCCCCTTCCACCAATGACGCTGGGGTTGCCGCACTACCTTTAGCTAAAGCACCTACTGGCTCAAACCGCCAGGAAAAGGTCCTATGGAGAAGGAATCGAGCTGCCAACTGCTGCGTATGAAATGCTGTGTCCTCACCGCACCTGCAATGCCTATTTCGTTCCACTCGCCGTCTCTGGCAAGTAATGCTCCACACCCGGAGGCTTTCGTTAGCCATTCCGTCAGTGCCCCAAAGCACTGAATCATCACTCACCCTCAGTTATCAGAAGGCGACATTCCTCTGAGCGATCGCCATCTCCTGCCCAATTAGCATCTTCCAGCTTGACGATGTCCGACAAATCCTCGACCACAGTAACTTTCTTCCTTTTTCTGGCCGGTCGTCCCTTGAAGAAACTCTCATGAGCCGCATAAAACAAAAAGAAAGCGACACTGGGAATCATTTTTCCCTGATCCTGAGAATTACCAAGAAACCAAAAACCATATTCACAAAAAAGTGCCTCTCTTGCCAACGCATCGCTCATCAACTCCTCCACAAGGCCGCTTCGCTCCGCCCATTCCTTCACTGTAGTCACGTCCACTACGCATTTGGAACCAAAATCCGATACTGAAGTAGTGAGGATGTCCTTTGTCTGGCTACTGAATGCTGGGTTTTCAATCAGGGCATTGACAAAGACGCACAGATGATTTTTGATCTGAAAGTTCTTGATTTAGGAGGGACACCAGAAACCCCTAAGAAGTAACCACGCCTGTACTTTCGCTATGCGACCGCGTGGCGTGTGTCCGCAATGATGAACAACGATTCAACTCACCACTATTTTCTTGATGCCATTTTTCAGACTCGGATCAACCAGCGGTTTAATGATGTTCACTATTTGATCAATGATGTGGTCAACATGTTTGCCGCCCTTAACGGAAAAAAATAAGTATAAAAATGTAAACCTAAACCTAGGTGGAGCGCCTCAAGTTAGCACTGCTATTGAGGCCAAAGAAGTTTGAGGAGTAGCATTCGGCAGCTAGACCCGCAGTAGACAGTGCCACACCCCTTCTTTGCTCGTCTGTGTCCTCTTAACAAGGCAGTGGTTGGTTGACGTCTGTGAGAGCGCAGACAAGCAGACAATGGGCGTGGCCCAGCCTTGATTTTCACATCATAAAGCGAAAAAGGTGATTACTATTGCTTAAACTTGAAACACCAGCTAAGCTTTGACTCAAGGTGACTAGCGCACGAGGCCCGTGACCAGGTGTGAAAGCCGAAAATTTGGAAACCGGAACACTATCCGAAAACGAGGTCGTTCACACTGTTATCAAATCAGCAGTGGTTTTACATATTTTTTTAAATTCCTTCATGCACACTCTTATCCCATACAATGTAGAGCGCGTGGCCGCAATCCTTACTTGAAAGTGGCGGCAGCTGCCTTGTTGGTGGGATATTTCTTATTTGGCACAACTGTAATAATGTTTTGCCCGTACATCAGATAGAATGATAGTGTGCCTCGTCCGGGATGTTCACAGGAAAGACATCTTACGCCGGCTCCAAAAATAGCCGAGGGCCACGCCCTCTCCGTGTCAGGGTTGTGCAGATGAACGCTGCATAATGGCAGTATGAGCCATGGCGCAAGAAAAAATGGACAAATAAGTAATATAGATCGCACGACCATCACGTTACTCACCCCGGTAGTGGCCAATATTGTTACAAAAGAGAATCTGGCTGGAAACCGTTTTTGCTTGATCGCTTCAAACTATCCACACTGCAATCGTCGCTGCGACTTCACGTACAGTATGTCGTTCTCCTCAGCATCCGGTGAGTACAGTGTGACATACTCGCGAAATGATGGTACCTAAAAAATACAATAAAATGTTAGAGTTAAACAAAATAATGAAGCCGTGCGGTTGCGTCGCATCTCCGCTGAAATCGCGGTGACTTATTAGTTCTTCAGCATTTCTGAATTCTTTCAATAGGTGCTAATGGAGTTTTAGGCTTCTATAGTGTCTATGTAGTTTAAGTGGGGGGGGGAGACACTCGGCATGCGCCTGCTCCTCTTCTTGAAAAAGAACAGCTTTAGAGTCAGACGGCTAGTGTCAGCGAAGAACAGCTCAGGCAGAGAAGACACTCCTGCTGAACCATCTGCCGGCAACTCTTACGGCTAGCGCCTACTAAAAAAAAGAAGATCGAATGTGTTGAAGAGAGCAGTAACCCCCGCTACACACCCATACTGTCTGACTCAAGAAGGGATACAGTGGCACGTCTAAGAGGTCTCCCCACTATATTATCTTTATCTCGCGTGGTCGAAAAATGGCTTTTCAGGAGCGTTTTAGTAGCGGTACCAGGTCACACCCACCATCTTCTCGTCTGCGCTTTCTCTATTCCCAGTAGTATCGCACCAAACAATATCTCAGTGGGCTAGCATAGACGCAGAAGAGACGTAGCCAATTCTCCCTGCCTGCCTACGGCTCTCTCCGCACTTACGTCCGACTACACCGGCAATAAATTTAGCATTTTTGGAGGTTAATAAACATGAAGTTCCACTCGACAAGCTTATGTTAGCCTATCAGTGACATGAGATCACTGAATTTACTAAATTAAAACCAAGAAACGTAATGATAGAATCTGTCGTCTAAGGAGAACTCCAGTATACCTCTAGCAGCTCGCCATTGTAGTACACAGTAACGTTTCTAAGCGTTCCAGCCACATCATAGGTTCTCTTTCGAAACATCCTACAAATGGCGTCGTCAAGACCAGCAACTCCAAATTTGGCAAAATCGGGTCGGAATGTGATCCGAGTGCCATCCACAGCTTTGGAATCTTCAATTATCATTGGCTCGTCGAAATTGCGCATGTTGTTCGTCCAGACCTGAATATAAACTAGAACTGAGCGAAGTTGTGCGGCTTCCACTACCAGCCCGTTGTGAGGCGCTGCAGAGGACTTAAAGACAGATTCCGTACTACTCGAGTCACTCGACTATACTGTTTCCCCCTATTGGTGTAATCATCCTAAAATCCTGAGCCCATCTAGAAAGGGCCGCAGTTGCCCTAATGACTTCTCTCATATTATTAACGCCAAATGTGCCTTCAAAGCGCAGCGAATGCGTCGCGGTAGCATGGTGCGACAATCCCAAATATTGACTTGGCCGACGCGGCCTGCGACTGCGATGCATTTCGTCTTGATTAGGCTCGAGTCCTAAAGGAATGGGGGAACCGGTAAAAACCAAGACACCACCGACCCCGTGCGAAAAACAGTGCTAGATGAGGCGGAGGCGGTAGTGTGACTAGATCTGCTCGTCTGCTTCCTCCCGCCGACAGAGTGATCCCTTCTCCAACAGATTCACCCTTGTCAGAGCACAGACAACCAGAGTAGCGCGGTTTAAGCCTCGCTCCCGCCCATCACCGATGCCCCAAGAAAAACTTCAACAATCTACCATCTAAAAGTTTACCTGTCGAATACTTTACCACTTTGCTGGGATGACGTCTCCACTATGAACTCGGTCGAAAAAATATTGCACAACTTTGCACCGTAGCCATTTCGTCCACCTGTGATCAATCACTAATCTGCTCAATCTGCGCTGGTCAACAATCTTCAGATGGACTTACCTACGACTTTCACCTCTCTATCATTGTAATTTGATGAGGTGAATAAGTTTCCAAAGATTAATGTCGGAACATAGATTCCTTCAATTGGATGCACCTCTATTGGTAGGCCGCGCCCATTGTTAAATATAGAAATTTCCCCCTTCTTTCTGAAACAGTGAAAATTCAAGTGAAACTACTGTACCCGAACAGAAGTGAAT